CTTTTTTTATTGATGGAAGAAACACGCCAAAGTTCATTTATTCTGGTTAGATCCAAATCTGCAATCAATTGTGCAAGTTCTATAACACATGCATCAAACATGTCTTCAGAAAACATGCCTGTTGGTGATTCAGCAGTTTCCTATAAAAAAACAAAATAATTAAATTTGTATGTCATGGTGAAAATAATAATGAGATAAACATTGATTCATACCTGTTTTTGAAGTTCATTTTCCAAGTTAGCTATATGACATCGGTAATGCATACTGCGGTTCATTTCATGTCTTTGAAGTTTAAGGACTGCTGGCGTTAAGAATTGCTGACACAATACATCAACTTCTTTAAAATAATGATTATGGTAATCTTCTTCTTGGCTTACAGGAAGTTTACCAATAGTTTCATTTAATCTAACATACCGGCTCTCTTTTTCTAATAACCTTTCAATTGTACGCTCAAGTTCTATAAGGGATGATGATCCACTAACATTATTTTTTATAATACCATTGTATGACTCCACACGTTGTGTACTCTGAATTCCAGCATTAAATGCACGATGGGTGAAGCATAATGCCCAGGCTTCTCTGCAAGGATAAAGCTGGCGTTGCAAATAATTTTTTGCATCAGGATATTCATTTAATAATGTAGTCCATCTCTCTTCAAAAATTGATTCAACCCGACTATTACGTGTAGAACAAAAGGTTGCAAAAAATTTCTTCCACTTTTCACCATGATATTTACTTAGAAAATGCTTCTCCAAGTTTTTTCTAATATGAAATAAACAAAAATGATGCTTTGTTGCTGGCCAAGAGCTTCTTGCTGCTGCAATCATCGCGGGATCTGCATCAGTATAAAGTAATGATGGTGCTAATCCTCCTGTTGCTTTGGAAATACTTGCAAATAACCATGAAAAAGTATCTTTTGTTTCATCTGAAACTATGGCAGTTGCAGCAAGACGGGAACGATTGTGATTATCTACCAATATTACAACACACAAAATCATAGAAAAACGGTTAGTTTTTGCTGTCGTATCAAGCAAAATAACATCATGAAAATGAGCCCATAGTTCTTGTTGATTTGGACTCATCCAACAGAGTCCAACAAGATGATTATCATGACCTTCAAAACGTGCATCAACATGAAATGTTGGATTTTCTTGTTGTTGGTTCATAAGTGCAAGATACATTGAACCGGCATCACTTGTAGTCTGATTTTGATGTCGAAGTGTTTGAACCAAATTGTAAATATTACGTGCATGAATATATTTTTCTGGATACTTGTGCTGTAATACTTCAATAATTGTACCAGCACGCACTCCACAGGCAGCAAAAAGTGCAACATCGTCATACATTTCTGGAGTAAGCTTGCGAAAGTGAGGTGTAACCATCCTAATATTATCCACTAAATCATGATTATGTTCGCCATCAATTTTTGTAATATGGATAAGATTGTCTTTTTTTCGGCGATAAGCATTAACATGAAATTTGCAGTCAGTTGTGTGATGTCCTCTATTACGATTTTCATCTGTATGTGCATTTTTTTGCTGATTGTATGATCGGCCTTTTGAACATGCATAAATACGACGCCGAGGAAAACCATCTTCTTTATCTTTATCACTATGAGTAATTGTGAATGCAAAACCCCGTTCCAACCCATGATTTTCAAGGAATCTTAAATGGTAAAATAAAAAAAAATTTTTTTAATATCATATTATTAAAAAGAATAAATGTGCAATGATAACAAAGTACGAAAAATAATTTCCAGTAAACTTACTCGTCAAGTTTTTTCCAGTTTGTGAACGTCATTTCAAGTGTAATAGGATAAAGTGGCTCAAGGTTTTCAATTTCTTCATAGTCATCCTCAAAAAACTCATTTAAAACTTCTTTTTCGCTTGAAATAATTGTTTGTGTATCATCAGAAGTATCTTTTAGAATTTCAAAGTCATTAGTATGGTCATGTACGTTTTCTTCAATATGAAATGGTGTGGAAATATTGTGGGAAGTCATATTAGTTATATTAGAATAACGGATAAAATAAAACCGATAGTCCGACACGGATATCAGGATAAAAAACTACCAAACAAATAAAAATGATGTAACACGATGTAACTGGTCGACAGGTCGTGTCTGATGTAACTGGTGTAACTGGTAAACAAATACTGAAATAAATCACGTGATAATACGATGTGGTGTTGAACACCGCGGTGTGGTTTATAATTTTTGTAAATTTTTATTTTACTTTATATTTTATTAAAATATACTTACTTTTTAATAATATATGTTAAAAATTCCATTTATATGTTGTGCCTTAGATTGATTCTTGCCTCAGATTAAAACTGATCACGTGCATTACATATATGGTAATTTTACTATGTAGATCATCACGTGTATATACATAATTCGTCACATCCTATTGGTAGTTTTAATCTGAGGTAAGAATCAATCTGAGGCACAACATATATGAGAAATGGGTTTTTTATTAGTGAAATAGGTTTTTTTATAGCTCTTTTACATTTAATAATTTAAGTTTTACAAATGTAAATTTTTGGTCAACTTATTATTTAGTCAAGTGATCATTAATCAGATGATTTTTTGGTATTACAAAACAATTTTAAGTAACAAAAATTGTGAAAATCAATCAATAACTCCTTTTAATACAGAGTAGACAAATCAGCCCATATGTTAATATTAATAGTTTATTTCTTTTTTGTATTTTTTGTAAAAATGCCAGCTAGACGAGGACCTGAATAATATTGATACAACTCATATTTGAATTTGCATAGAGTTTATATTAAAATTTTTCAAAAGTTGTATATTATAGGGATATTTTCAAAATTTCGTTATCCTACATACTCCTATTTTTAATATAACCAGTAATTCAATTTTAATATCATTGGATTCGTCTTGATAAGAAGATTCTAATGATAGTAAAATTGCATTTCTAGCTTTAATATTGACAGAGTTATGTCATAAAATATATTTTTATTTCAGTATTTAAAGTTTACTTGTAAGTTATATTAGTATTATTCAGGTCCTGCTAGATGAACTGGATTTTAAAAATGCAATGTCTATAAATACAGTTGTATCTTTAAATGAAATTGTAAATAAAGTATTATTAAAACTGAAAATTAAACAAGAACCAGCTAACAAAAATTTTCAAAATTATACATCTTCAGGTGATGCAATATATACTTATAAACACATATAATTCTTTATAAAAGTAACCACATATTAAACAAGAGCTGTTTAATGAAAATTCTCAGAATTGTGCTTCATTAAATGATGCAAAACCTATAGATGTATTTGTTCCTTCAAATAATATTAAAAATGTGGAACTAGAAATCAAATAAAAATCTGAATATTCTAAAAATTCTAAAGATTTTGAATTAAAAGAAATTTAAAAAGAAAAAAGCAAGTAGAAAAAAATAAAAAATAACTTAATTTCGGCATATTTTTATATGCAAAATTATGTCCAAATTGTAAAAAAAGTTAATTCTTCTTTGATTAAAAAAAAATCATGCATTTTAAATCCTGTTGTAATTTTAAAAAGTATTAGATAGAAGAACAAGAATTGACAATAATAATAAAGGTAGTGGACTATAAATGAAACATTTATTAATATTTATTTATTTTTTTTTATAAGTTTATATAATCATTTTTCATATTTCAAAGGTAAAAGTTCTTTGATTTTTTTTATTTTTTGAATGAAATATTAATAATTAACATTTTATTTTTCTTTTTTAGATTTCAGCCATAGGTTTTTTTGGGATATTTCAAAAGTAAAGTAAATGAGGATTTCAGGTAAGTTTTCTTTACATTTTTTAATGAAATATTTATTAATATTTTATTTTTATTTTGTAGGTTCTTGAATGGCTCTTTACATAAAATTTCATTAGATAACTTTTTTATTTTATTTTATTAATTTTATACATAATTTACATTAGATAGTTACAGTAATAGTGATAAATACAATTTGTAAATACAGTAATTAAATAATATTAATAAAACATAATGCTTTATATAAAATTATATTAATTTATGCATTTTTTTATACTTAAAATATGTTGTTAAATGGTGTTATTTTCATTGCTCAACACTTAAATTGAGTTGTACAACGTATTTTTAAATGGTGTCAATTGAGGTTTGTAATACTTTTTAACCTAATATTTGTTAACACATTCAATGCCCTAAAAAATTTCCTAATATAATCATTTTAAAGTGATATATTTTTAAAATTTAGTTTAAAAACCTGAACAAGTACATGAAAAACAAAAAAATACTTTACTATGTGGTAATCAAACAAATTTTATACTTTGTTTTTCATGTAATAGCCAAATTAACCAAGATGTTAAAATATTATTAATTATTGTAATTTCTCCTCCAGTAACAGGTGATACTTCTTTTCAACAATCACAAATAAATAAAATTTCAATTATGATTATCTATCAAAAAAATAATCAATTATTTCCTTTTATTCTACCAGTAAATGGATTTCTTACATATTCCCACTTTTTAAAAATTCTACAGATTTTGTTAACAGTAGCTTTACTAATATACATCTTTTAGCAAATTCTTTCTGTGTAAAACCTTCAGCCTGACAGTAAATAATTCACCATCTTAAATCTTCACTTAAACTTTTTTCCATTTCAATCTAAAATTATTTTAATAAGTTTTAATGTTAATATAATTTGATTTTGAAAGAATATTCATTATTACTTATTTGAAGGAAAAAACCAGTTTAAAAACTTATATGAAAATTCGCAAATTTTTTATATGGTGAAAATCGCACCATTTTGCAAAACAGCAATAAAAAGAAACCAACCCACTTCACTATACTACAATTGTTATAATAGCAATATCAATTTTTAATAATGATGGTATTTATAGTTAGAGCTTCATAGAAAAATGAAAGAATCAGAAGCAATTAATAATTCATGAAAAAGAAAAGAATCATGCTTTTTGAAAGATAATAAGAAAAAAAAAAATAAGCATTATGTCTTACTAGTCTCTACTTTTAAAAAGTGGATTATACTTTTGAGATACAATTATGATCTACTAATTCTACTTTGAGTATTGATAAGAAGCAAAATTATGTTTCAAAATATATTTCAGTAATTTTGAAACACATCAGAGCTTTTTACGCCTATATCTTTGTAATTATACAAAAATTTTAGCGGTTCATAAAGATAAGACATGTACAATTTACCACTACCACCCAAGTATATCATTGCATTAGTGTCTTCTAAACCAATACAAACAATTAAGGTCTCCCCATATTCTTTTAAATCTTCTCCATAAATATAAGTTGATATTGATCCAAAGAGATTAAATCCTCGCACATAACCATCTTTATCAACATCTAATGGAATATAAGCAAAAGGATACTTCGCACAAAGTTCCTCAATTTTTGATTCCTTTTCATCATCCGACTCTAGTGATTCAAGTTCAAGCTGACGAAATTGGTTAAGTACCTCAATAGTACGTTTACAAAACCTGTCAGCATCGTTTTCTTTTCTCCAAAAATTATCAGTATACGCTCGTGGAGCTGGTGGCAGATCAGTGAACAAATCATTTTTAGATTTATCACTATTGGGCTTGGGATGTGTTTCTGGCTTTGGATGTGTCTGTCCCATTTTTTTCGTGAAGAGACTTTTCTAGTCAAAATGATATTACCGTATAAAATTATAAATATAGTCATTTACTCATTGTTGTCTAAAGTAAGTAGTAAATCTTTTATTCCGTTTTTGGCAGTGTATACTGCATAAGTAATAATATTTCGTGGTACGTCATTATATCACAGGAACAATTGCATATTCTTGTATTAATAACTAACTCGCGTAAAGTTCTTTAAAGATCAAGTTAACGTAATTTTCCCTTCCAAAATCGATTAGACCCACTACAAATCATATAAAAAGGCGAGGCTCTGGTTAGTGAATTCTTTATCTGTTTTGTACAATAAAATAAAAATATATTACATCCATTTTTTTTTACTTTTTTGTTTTTCTGGAAAAGCCAAACGTCCACCGCCAATTCGGTCGCACATGGAACGTCTGAAGGAAGTGAACTCAGTTTGCCACCGCCACTTGGTCTGTACATGAATAGATTTGACGTTCCCAGAAGTTTGCCGCACGAAGCCACCTTGGTGGAGAAAATGACGAAGAAACACGAAGAGACACTCGGGCGGAGCACCAAGGGAAAAAAAAGGAAAAAGGAAATATCACTTTGAAACGTAAAAGTGTAGAATATCAAAAAAGTAAGTCACGTGAGTTCACCGACAATCATAAATCACGAGGTTCAGCATATTCAGCATTAATTTTCTTGACGATCCTGCCAGCTTCACATAAAATAAAATCAGCATTAATTTTCATTAATTTTCATGCAACAAAAATAAACATTTTTATGTCATTTTTTTAATTAACAAGTTACTTCAAAAGTCATACTTTTTCAATATGAAACTCGCAGAAGATTGTGTAATAAATTCGGTTATGGTATACAGTTACTTAACTTCAGATTTATGGAGTTTAAGGCATTACATTGATTGGATTTTTAACGTGATTTTCCATTATGGGAGACATGTTTGACAGCCTTTGCTCACTAGGTTAGATAGTTAAGCAAAAATTGGTATTATAACCTATTTGTGTTATTGCTAACCAGATTGCCAAAAATAAGGAGGTGAATGTCAATAATAAGACACTGCTTTGTCATTTCACCATTTCAGTACAGAATTCCATATAATTCAGCTTTCTGAAACTAAGGTACTTATGGAATGATGTATGAACAAATATTCAATGGAAAATATGGCAAATCCATTTATGAGGTTGGTTGATGCTTATTAAAAAGGTTTAGTTTATATTGATTTATGATCTAGACTCACATATAGAAAAAAAATAGTCTATGTGCAAAAAGAAGAGGAATATTTGCTTTAGTTGCAAAAATACATTCTAAAAACAAAAGGTAATTTACCAGTCTTTATTTTTGACTAAGTAATATTATTCAAGAATACTGAAATTTTCTATTCCTATCCTGTGATCCAAAACAATGGTAATTTAAATAAAGGTAATGATCCATCACTCTTATCAACTTCTATCTATGCTAGCAAAACCAATGTTAAGCAGAAAAAGCAAAACTGCTTAACAATTATAGGAAAGTGAGTATAAATTCTTTTTGTTAGAAAAGTAGGCAGAAAATAATCTTTTGAGATTGTCTAATATTCAAAACTTTGATATTTAAGGTTTTGGATTGACCTAGCAGATAGGAGGTCAAACAAATTATTGCTGATGTATAAAATGTAAAAAATACTAATCAAAGGCATTCTTTATACTAGGGCAATAATTACAGAATTACACGAAAATAGAAAAAAAGGATGGTTTTGCAGACAGATTCATGTGAATTTTACAGAAATTGAAACATTCATAGTGTGATAATTAATGAAACTATTAATGGAACTATTGCAATAGTGATATTTTTGCAGTAAGGAAATTAGGTTATTCCAAATTAATTTTTAGTTTAATGTTCTCCCTCTCTCTCTATTTTTGAAAATTTTAAAATAATTTAAACACAATATGTTTACATGTTTAAAGCACCTTCTCTTTTTTCTGAAATTTGATACTGAATATTTCTAATTTTACTGAAAACTTCTGGAATTTTAATATGTTTAAATATCATGTTTGTTTAAATTAGCATAACAGAAGTCCCATTTTGATCTATTGTTACACAAACTATTTATACAGCGTATACAATAGTATATATATAAGATTTACAATGGTCATATTTGCAACACATGAAGGACGCGACCATATACTCTGAAATTTTATCAGTATATTCTTTAAATACTACTCTAACATAATAACTAATGAGATCTCTAAGATCTCTTAGTTTGCGAAAGTTTACTTAGACAGGACTTTTGCTTATTATTATACCATATGACATTATAGTTGTTTCATACAATTTCACAAAACACAAGCAATAAAATTTAGTAATATCGAACGTATTTGATAATTTACTTGGCAGTTGACATATGATAGGTTTGGTATTATAAATTGTCAATGATTTATTATTTATTATTATATAATACAAAAAGTTTAATTCTTACTACTATTATTACCAGTAATTTATATTATTAATTGCTGCTTCTAATGTAGCAGATACATCTATTTCTTCATCTGCTGTTTCCTCTGATTCTTCCTCTTCCTCTTCATTAATTTCGTCATCTAAATCATCCTGTGTAAGCGTATCTGTTCCTTTTTCAACTCTTTTTAAAAACGAATTTACATTTTCAAAAATACCTTTCTTATAAAAATTTTCACAATAAACACATCTTCTACCGTAACAAACTGGATGATAACCATGACCACAAGCAAAAACTACTCCATTATTGTTCAATGGTAGCCCACAATTATCACATAATCCTGACTTTGGTAAATAGGACGTACTGTATGCTGTTGGTAGGTGACGCAAGTCAACTTCCTTTCCTAAAGTAGCAAGTTTGTATCCTCTTAATTTTTTTTCTTTTTTTCTTGTATTATTGTACAAGGGAGTGCTATTATTTTGGTTATGAAATATATTACGGAAGTAATTAAGTAGGAAGAGACTGGTCTTATCAGACAGGAATTTAAGTGTAGATAGATTGTACGAATAATTGCGAGTTTTGCGAAATGTATCTTTAAAGATAGGATCATGATCCGCTATTTAAATTGTTAGGAATAAGTAACAAATAATATGTAATGAAAAATTAATATTATTATATTTATTATACCAATAACATAAGCCTGTTTTATAATGGTTTCAGCTGTAGCATTTGAAGATGTATTTGCTCTTATTCGGCTATGAGTGTTTTCAACGTAATAGTCATTAAAACATGGTAAATAATTTTTAATTGCATCAGCAAATGGGTGATGGTTATCTTGCCAATAAAATAAATCTGATAAAAATATAAGAGGCGCTTTATTATAATTTTTTCTTTTCCAACGTAAAGCAAATGTCCAAATACGAAACACAGTTTCCACATATTATTCAAATGAACCTGAGCGAAATAAAACTGCATATACATAAAGTGTAGCTGGAATAAGATTGTCTAATAAGTCAATTACAGTTCGATATTCAACATCTTTGCATGTTGAACCAAATTTTTGCATAACCTCATTTTTAATTTTAACCCAACCACTTCGCGCAAGTTCCAAGAGAAGGTTAATTCTCCAAGGCTTTGGTTTTTTTGCCAGCTTTTTATTTTTGCCAAATACAAAATGAAACATTTGTTCAAAAAAAGAATGATGAATTATCATAACATGTTCTCTACTATTGAGTGAAAGGTGAAGTGGACCTAGCATCGGTATAAAAGATTCAATTTCTTTTGGAATAGCAGATTGTAATCCTAATGCATGCAGATGTGTTAATGCTTTTCTGATAAACAGCTGACCTGGCCAATCTGCAACAATAGGTGCAACATAATTATCCAAATATTCTGTTTTTCTACTTATAGTTAAAATCATTTGTAAAGCATTCAAGTAGTCCTGCATTGAATGTAAATGCTGTTCTTTAAAGCCAATTAATTGAAGATCTTTCATTGATCTTTCATCCTTTCGCTCTGCAATAGCATCATCATAACAATGAATAGTTAAAAGTTCAATACGATCAAAAGTATTAGCGTTTTGATATCCTTGTGAAATCCAATATATCTGACGTTCTGTATATGTGATATCAAAGTTTCCAGTATATTTGTTAAGCAAATACCAACAAATTCTTGGTGCTTCAACATTATTTGGATTGTGAACAGATACTCCATTAAATACAATTGGTACTGCAAAGCATTCCATAACAGGTTTTGCTACGCAAGTAGAAAAATGCTTTGCCGTTGATGTTGTCACTGTATCTGGTCTACGCTTTTCATGAATGTCATGATAATCATCTATGTTATAAATATGCAGGCAATCTCCCTATTACAAATAAAAAAAATCAATTTTACAATACATAAAGCATAAACCACTTTTTTAATAATGTTTACCTTTTCCAAAAAGTGATCTTCAATCTTGGTTATGTGATTCAATTGAATCTTCTTCTGATAGTCCATAACTGTTTTAGCACAAGCTGAATATCCAATACTTGATAATGTATCAATAGCTTCCCATGTAGCACCTGATGCTACCAAATACAATCCAACTTCTGTCTTGAATTGGTTAACGAATTTGTTACGCAAACCAGCAATTATATAACATAGAGCAACAATTGATTTTTTGGCTTCCTGTTTATTATATTCTGATCGGTCTTTAGGAATAATAGCATTAACCATTGAAGGAAAGAATCCTTTTAATTCGGGATTAGCATCTTCAATCATAAGTTGAAATTGTACTGGATCCAATTCCAAACCAGCAGATTCTCGACGTTATTTGTTGAATAATACAGTTGTTAATATTTTGATATTTGATGCGAAAGTGGGATCTCTATACAAAGCTAAAGAGATATAAGTTAACCATTTAAAAAGAAGTCTTTCAGCTAGTAACAATTATTTTGAGATACCTTCTTCTTCATTTGTGACTTTCTTCCTACTGCATTCTTGGCTTTTTAACCTTCTTTTTTTATTTCTATTTCTATTAGATTCCACTATTTTGCAATAATGTAAATGGCAAAGTTGTTTTCCTATTTCAAGATAAGGGTATGTTTCTAATGTATTTTCCTTTTGGCATTTCTGGTATGCAAGTTCTGTAATTAAACGAAAACTAACATTTCTATATGTACAATTATCTACTGAGCAAGGTCCAAAATTTTTTTTTGTTACCATGATTAATAGATTAATAATTAGTCCCGTGACAAGTTAGATAAAACAAGTAATAAAACCTGTTTATAAGTAAAACACGTGAGCACGCGTAAAGCACATTTTGGGATCTAGCCAATCACAGTCTTTACAAAACATTTAAATTGTGGCCAATCAGGGGGAAATTCCGTTATGCTGTTTAAATTATTCTCTCTCTCCTTCTCAATTTTTCAGCCAGAAAGTAAGAATGTTTGCCAAAACTATTTTTTTAAAATTTTAGTTTAGTCAAAATTTAATCTAAAACTATTTTTTTAAAATTTTAGTTTAGTCAAAATTTAATCTAAAACTATTTTTTATAATAAATTTAATTGTTAAAACTGTTTTTATGTTTTTCTGAAACTAATTATAATTTAGGAAAGTTTCAGATTTACCAATTTTTTCATTAAAAATAAAGTTTTTGAGTTCAGATTTTTGAATTTTATCGTTAAATAAATTTCAGCAGCAATATTAGTATACATATTGCTCAACACATTGTTATACAGTATACTAATGATTATTAAAAAAAATGGAAAATATTTTAAAAAACTGAAATCAAAAGTATTTAAAACACAGTCATATGATCATATAATATAAATCACAAAATTGCCAAAAAAGCATTAATTATTCTTAGAAATAAAATAGGTATCTAAATTTACTTATTAAAATTAATCTAAGGTTTATATAATTTAATATATTTTTGTACTATAACTAATATCTTTCCCTACAATCTCTATCTTTACCATTTTTAGTACTTCTATCTTTATTTTTTTTATGAAAGTTGTCTATCCTTTCCTTTTTCATCTTAATACTATGATACTTCTTAAGTTCTATTAAAATGACTGTTTTAGTACTAAGTTTCTTTAGCTGTTTTCTCATTTCATTTTGAAAAATATTTCCATCTTATTACTTCTTTCATCCTCAATCTGTAAAAATGTTTAGTCTTTTTTTTTTTTT